TCTCTCTCTCTCTCTCTCTTTCTCTCTCTTGCACGAGCGCGCTCTCCTTTGCTCATTGACTACGAATCCAGCACACATCCAACTTTCGTAGCCAATGAGCAAACGAGAGCACGCACGTGCAAGAGAGAGAGAGAGAGAGAGAGAGAGAGAGAGAGAGAGAGAGAGAGAGAGAGAGAGAGAGAGAGAGGATCAAAAGTAAGTCTCAACGAGGTCTAGTCTGGCAGAACATACACAGTAACACAGAGAAGGAAATCGAATGAACACTAGCCCTACGATGGCGACAGACACAGACGGCGGTGATGTCATCGCATGTCCCCGTGATCGACGAGATCGAGAGAATCTCATTACCGCATCCGACAGTCACAGACAGGCAACTGTCCGTAGGATCCAACATCAGCTGAGCGGCTGTGGGGCCCTTCAGAATACTAGCCCCCTGTAACGCCCCCCCCCTCCACTTCCTCGTCCGACCCCGGCCCCCCCCAACTCCAGCAGGCCCCCTCCTTGCCTCTCCCCCAGCTCTACCACCTATGGCAGTACCCTGCTACCCAAATGAAATATAACTGCGTGGCACAGTGCCACTTAACGCGATCATCGATCTGCTGTCAGGAGATGGCCCCACATTATGATAGACTGTTAGCTGCGGACTCATATTTACATTCCTAGGCTTCTTCCACTGTTACTGCTTTAATTAGAGGACGATCAATTTGATTCAGTTTGATTCAAAAGAAAAGGAGCTGTGCGCCTGATTCTGTGTGTCTGAGAAACGGCAATTTATTAGAAACCGAGTCTTTTGTGCATTATCCCTGAACAGATAAGACGTAGATACACACACACACACACACACACATCACGACACATGGACATGCACACACACACGCACACACGGAGTCCAGACCGTGGTTATTTTGACTGATTTTCAGCTGATCCAAGCTTCCTCCCAATGTGGGTATTGGAGGGGCCCCCTGTCCCTTTTTTCCCCCCCTTTGTAATGACCCTTCATCCATTTCTGTGGCCCCGTTTTCTGTGTGTGTGTGTGTGTGTGTGTGTGTGTGTGTGTGTGTGTGTGTGTCCCTTTTTTTTTTTTTTTTTTTTTTTTTTTTTTTCTTTTTCCAACCCCTTCGTCCATTTCCGTGGCCCCATTGTAGCCTGTAGGTAGAATCTGACAGTGGCTTCGTAACTTCACGACATGTCGTCGTCACGGCCAATCCAATCATCCTTGCTGACGTCTGATCGTCCATCTGTCAATGGTAAGAGACTAAGAGTGACCATGTTGGATTCGGACAGTAGCAATTTATAGATGACCCTTGCTGACCTTACATGTGACTCATGATGGGTCCCAGGAAATTTCTTCTTCTTTTTTTCTCCCCCTTTCCTCTTGTCCCTTAAACCACCCGTATAGAGGGGACCTTTGTTCCCCCCGAGTGGCATTGAGCAGACACTGCTGATGTTCTTGGGGGGCGGGGGGGGGGGACCACCATGGGAGGCGAGGCACAGCAACTGGCCCACCAAAGAAGCTCGGTCCTGTTGCTACCGCCTGCTGACCCTAGCCGGTATTGCCCACCTGCTGTAGCAGGTATCGTACCTGCTGCCAGCTGCTGGTGGGTGCAGCTCTCCCATGTTCCTGAGCACGGATGTGGCTACTACGGGGTTCCAGGTAGTGGTATAATGACCTAGGGCCTAGGCTACCAGCCGCCGCAGCCGGGCCGCCCGGGTCATCCTATTTTCCCGGGCGGCCTGGGCGTGCAAGGACCAGATAAGGACTTAGCAAAAAAACAAAAATAGACAAAATCTGAAAACAAACTATGTTATGCAGAAATATAAACTGAACTCCAGAAAAAAACGGACACTGCAGACGTGTTTCAACAGTTCAGGGGTGTTACCGGGGGCCAAGCCCGCCTTACCCCAATCGTTGATTCAAGTCGATTGCTGACCGTAGATTACAAAGCTCTACGGCCAGAAATGAAGCATGGGACCAAGTGGGACTTGGCCCCGGGTGTAGCAACTGCGCTAGGCCCTTTCTTTCTTTCTTTCTTTCTTTCTTTCTTTCTTTCTTTTTTACTTGGGGGTAACTTCAGTAGAGTCACAAAAACGAGTGAGTTATAATTGCACTACGGGGCAAGATACAGTTTGCAATTGCACTTGGGCCACCCTACACCTGGCCAGAAAGCTGGGTTGTATACATTGCCCGAACTGCAATTCGGAACTGTATCTTCAGAACTGTATCTTGGTGCATAGTGCAGTTACCTCTCATTTTTTGTGACTCCAGGGTAGTTTCCCCTTCTTTCTTTCTTTCTTTCTTTCTTTCTTTCTTGAGGAAACTATGGGCGTGGCAAAAATAGAAGTTGGGATTTTTAATAGAAACTCATTTTTGCAGTGTTGTGGCGATGTGTGTTTTCATTGCAAGACAAACTCAGGCGGTCACGCTCGCACAATTTTGGCAATGCCACGTAGGGTGTGGGCGGACCAGGGCAGGTCTTTTCTTCCCAAAGGTCACCCTGTAGTACTGGCCGAATCTGGCCAAAATCATGGCCAGTTCCAGCCGCTAGTACTACCCAATGGCCCTCTCTTGGCCTCTTTTCCAGGGCCTTCTAGGCTCTGGCCCTCTTCACAAGTTCACTTGCCTTGCAAAAAAACTGAGCCGTAGAAGGGGCTGAAATTTTTCTCATGGCCGCGCCCTCCCCCCCCCGCCCCCCACATGGTCTCTGTCCCTCTGACAGAACTGCAGTCGGCGTGAACTTGGCGGCCCAAGTTATTTCTGCATTTAGAACTTACTTAGGCTGCAACAATACGTAAACAAGGATTTTTTTTATTTTTATTTTTCTATATATATTCTTAACAACGAAAATTTATGTTGTCCACATGAGCTGTGATGATTCTGATGAACACTCCAACACCGAGTTTCTATTGGCCAAAGCATTTCACATTTCTTCTTTCTTTCTTTCTTTTTCTTTCTTTCTTTCTTTCTTTTACGTTCTCGACCTCTTTTCCAACAATTATACCAACTCCCCCCCCCCCCCCCCCTCCTCCCAACTCCCCACCACCAAACGACCCCCCTCCCAACCAAAAAAAAAAAAAAAAGTGTCTACTTTTCAGTTGTTGATACTTGTTGTCGTTACGATTCTTACGAAGGTCTGGTGAAAGAAGAAGTCTCTCAGAACTTACCTGTTTATTTCAGAGAGTTGTAGAATCCTGTGCAAGTTTCACACGAATAGCTCGAAATCTTATAGACTTGCGTCCGTGCTATTGCAGTATCGTCTTCTCTTGTGCCTTGTTGACCCAATTCATAAGCTGAACCTTGACTTTGACTTTGACTTTCACCTCACTTGGCTTTGACTTCCATATACTCATCATGTTATTGCTGCCACTGGGGTCTTCGCTCCTCCTCACCTCCTCCTCACCTCCTCCTCACCTCCTCAGCTACTCAGAATGGAGTCCTCACCTCCCTCATGCTCCCAACAGATGACAGGTAGGAGTACTAACACTTTTTGTTCTTGGCAAAGTTGGCATCCCTCTCTCCACCTCCCTCTCCCTCCCCCCTGCTGGATTACCTTCTAGAGACTTCTTCAGCAATTCAGCTCCCTGCCCTGCTGGATCTCATCACAACCGATGACAGGGTAGGATATTTGAAAAAGGGGGAAAGAGAAGGCTAAGCATAGAGTTGGGAAATTTGAGGGAGAAGAGAGTAAACTGTTATGCAGATTGGAGGGAGAAAAAGAGAACGAGGACCAAAATAGACAAAGCACACACGGAAGAGAAGAAAACACTATAGGTAAGCCACAGTAGCATATTAGAGGGAACTTCAAATCTAGAAACAAAAGACAAAGCACACAAAATTTGACAAAAACACAATAGACAAAACACGTATTTCTAGCAAATATTTCTGTTCAGTGGTGTTTTCACGGTTTTGAGGACGTCCTGGACGTGTATTTGAATGCTCGCACACTGAATATGGTCGTCTAGTTGACTCTATTCATCCACACACACGACGTGTACACATGATGATGATGTCTAATGGGCCCCTGTTGCGCTAAAGGTGTGTGCTTGGATGAATGAACCAGACTCCGTAGTTAGGCATCATGCATGTGTATGGATAAATGTGCCTTCTTGCTTAAAGTTGGGTTATCTACAATCTATAATTTCACGTCGGTGAACGGCCACGTGCAGTGGATGCACTGAATGTGGACGATACAGTGATGTTTGTAACCGTTGTGATTATCTCATGTCAGTTGTATTTTTTTTTATTATTATTATTTTTTTCAAATCATTTGTAAAATAGGATGCTGCTCCCCTGGGTAAAAAAAAAAAAAACTTTGGTCTTCTCAATAAACTTTGGTTGGAGGCATACAATGTCAAGGACTTCTGGAACCAGGACACAGTCTTCACAGACAGGGTGCAGCCCTGCTTCCATAAACAACAGGCAGAGAAGGTAAGTATCTTATTCAGAGAGAGAGCCTTCTGGCAAATCTGGATAGCCAGAAGAGACAGGAGATTTCTCGCTATAACCGATCCTCTCCCTTCTCTTATTGCCCATTTCAAGCATGCCATGCGACTAGATATCACAGCAGATTGGCAGAAGCTCAAGAACTTATCAACCTCTGACGAGGTGGCCTCTTCGCAATTCCGCAAGAAATGGGCATTCCCCTTCCCCCTTCCATTGGGCAGACCTGGGCAAGGACAATAGACTGATCTACTCAAAGCTTCCATGGGATCACCGGCCAGTCAGACCTTGAAATACAAAATACAATCTAATCAGACAGCTGTACAGATGCTGAGAGGGTGCTGATCTGGTCCTTATCTGATTTCAAGGCTTTTAGATTCTTGGTTCATTGGGAACAAATGTGTAAGACCTGATTTGGTGCTGATAGTGTTGTAATACCATTTTGGACTGGAAGGAGCATTTAGTTTGATAAACCTAGTGGGGAGGCACCTATTTTCCTTTATGACTTAATTTTTTCTTTTTCCTTTTGAAAGTAATGGGACACTGGACCCGATTTCCAGGAGCCTGCAGCTGGGTATTGGCCCGAGCATGTTGATGTACCGGGTTGCTATGTGGGGTGTATTCCCGGGCCCCTGTCCTTGGCTTTGAAATGAATCACTCGT